TAGAGGGCCCATGCTTCTGCAAGAAATCTACAGAGTAACAGGTCACTTCTGTAATTAGAAAGGCGGTAGTCTCTGTAGAGGCGGAACCTCACCTTTGGCTTGGGCAATGCAACCCCATACGTAATCCCTCACCATCTCTGTACACCCTAAGAGCCAAAAGGTGCATAGCCATCCTATGAAGGACGACTTCTTAGGTTGGGGCACATGGTCATTCCTGGGGTCGTTTTGCACACTGTATGACTTGGTTCTCAGCGATTGAAAGCGCGGAGTTGTTATTGGATGAGAGCTTGGGGCCCCTAGTAGGCAATGAGAAAAGATGGCAAAGAGGGCTAGAGATGTGAGCTTGGCAGCTTCGGGCCTCTTATGAATTACAAGTGCATAGGTGGGTGGGACAGGCATAGGCCAGGCTTTTGGTACTCGATGCATACGCTGGGTAAGAAACTTCTCGAGATAAAGAACTTGTATGCAGGGGTTGTGGCCTTCTAGACTCCTGCGGTGGCAGCGAGAACTAAGACAGCTCCGGCATTTTGCGAATCGCTTCCCGTGATGGGCGTCGTGCATATTGCAAGCATTGATGTAGCCTGCCACCAACAGGCAAGAGTGATTAAGCAGCTTAGGCATTCCATCTCTTGAAGACTGAGTATTCTCACCAGAAATTGGAGAGCTTTCGCAAGCGCTGACCACTGCAAACGGCAGTTCTCTAAGTCAGGACCTTCATGAGGGGATTCTCCATGATTAGAAACCCAAAGCTCTCACCCCAGGGCCCTTGGCTTGCTGATGCAAGGCCTCCAGACACTGACAGTTGCCACAGAGGATACCTTAAACCTTGTTCTATGCCCAGCACAAAGCCATCAGTAGGTGGGGGCTCAACCTACAATTGTGGACTTCCATCCCGAGGTGGGTAAAGTGAATTAGTGTAGAGTCCTGGAGCATACCCCACACCAGAAACCCTGAACCCTGAACCTTAGTAGGCCCAACAACCGGATGAGCGATTTTTCCAGTCTCTTACGGCCTGGCCCTCACTGCCAGCAAGTCGAACTGGAAAGGGTCGCTATGGATGTAGGAGCCGAGATACATACCGAGATCATGCTCTGATCTTCCAGTGTACCCATGTTGTACTCCACTCTGAAGCCCCACTCTAATCATGTTTTTTTCCGGAAACTATGTGACGAGCATTTGCGATGTCTCCACTTCTATTTAGGATTTGAGGGTACTAGCTGTTTCGGGAATTATCGGAGGAGCCGTTCAGAGTTTGAGAGCACATGAGTTTTTGTTGGAGGTGTAGGAGAATGTACTTCGAATTAAGGGTGTAGGGAGCAAAGATGGCTTAAGTCAGTTCAGAGTGTCCATAGCTTCAGGATTGAGAGTGCTGGTTCAGATGATTTGGGCTTGCGAGAAGCTTGGGACGATGGATGATTTTCTTGCAGCTGCGCTCCTGGGGGAAAGCCATAGAAACTTTGGAGATACGTGATTATAGTATTTGGGCGTCTATAATGGCCTCCCCCTATTTGGGGAAACCGCCATGTAAGGATCCCAGAGTGACAGCGCAAGCACAAGCTGGTGTAGCTTGATTTTGAAGCGGCTATCCTTTGGCGAATGCGGGCATCTAGGCCCAATACAAGCCCTGTTTCTAATCACTTGCTCAGTTGGTTTAGCCCACGTAGACCCCAGAGCCCTCCCTTCTAGAGATGCAAGGAAAGGCCTTTCTGGCCTTCTTTGTCCATCTAAGACTACTCTGAAACTCTCACCCTACAAGCCCAGGCGTTGGGCGGCCTGGGCGACCTCAGTCCTTCGGTTCTGCCAGCAACTTTCCATGCCTGGAACTCGAGGGTCATACGGGGAGTGCGGAGGGTTTGAGTTTAAGGACGGAGTCGAGGGGGTTTCTGAGGGTTTGGGCTTCCTTTCTAGAGGGTTGTATATCTTTCCGATTTTTCCGGAAGTGATGATGAAGAACCGTCTCTTTCTCTGTGGTATTTGAGGGTAAGTGAGGCGTCGTGCATTCGAGACACTCCAAAGTCGAATACTCTACAAGCCCAATTCACCATGGACCGCCTTGCCTTGTCAATCACGTATAGAAACTCATCTTACCAAACGACCCAGAAATCCACCATATAAAGGACCGGGCTTCTCGGGCCGTAAAGTTGCAGGCACAGGAATTCCGGCCTTGGGTTGCTCCAGCGAGGCGGAGGCTTTGTTTTTGTTTGCTTTTTCTGGCTGATGCGGTGGAGCTGGCAGAGTTGAGGCTGGGTTTAGTAACTAGGAGGTTGGTTTGCGGAGGCGTTGGAGGGTAAGCATTGGGTTTCTAGTCTTGTCTTGCATTATGAGTTCAGCAGTTTGATAACACCCGATTGCAGACCAGTAGAAGTATGACAGTGTGAGCTCATCATGCAGCCTTCACGCAAAAAAAAAACTTTCGAGGGACTGGCTTTAGGGAAGCTCAGCAGCACATCCCGAAACTAGGTTACCACCAAACTCCCCTGTGTTGCGAGTCCACGCTCCTTCCTAGGGCTTGACCTGTGCAGAATGGATGCCATTGATGGCCCATGAAAGTGATCCAGGGACCCTAGGCGTGCACATCCTCAAATCGACCAGTTAATAGCCCTGAAACCTTAACTCTTGTCCGTGTATATATATATATGAAAAGCCCTTGACCCCGCCAAACATCGGCCCCAACCTCTTTAAGACAATGTTTTGAAGTGATCAATGTAAGGAAACCATACTAGTTATGAAAGTTATATCCAGGATTATGATAGTATGCCGGTTCCTTAACAGCAACCCAGTCTAAGCTCTGCAGTGAGCAAGGTATGGGATGCTCAGCGCCAGGACCTTGTATTCTGGATAGGTTTAAGGAATTTGGGTTCCTAGTCTTAGGATTCTGCTTTAGGGGTCAGGCTGACATGGCCATGATCTTCCTGGGGTCTATTGCGCTTGGGTTTGCGCGCGCATACAGGGAAGGTTTGGATTTGCTGACCTATAGACCTTAAGCCGAAGCCTGCAATTCTGAGCCCTAAAGCTTTTTTGGATTCAGATTGAGAGCGGCTCGCAGCTTTTTCAGTGACATTGACCTTCTCTGGAGCTGTGACTGGGACTTAGGGGCTGGGCCCGTAGTTGTGTTCAGGTTGCACAGGGGTCTTGAGCCGTATGTTGGGTACGCCCTGAAGTCACCCTTGTTCCAGCCTTTGAATTTTGCAAAGGCTCCTGCACCAGGAGCTTTCATCAACACTCGCAGTCTGGGACCTCGAGTATCTAGGAAGGACCGATAAGATATATCTTGCCCAGTCCTTCTCAATGCCTTCCCTGTAGCCTTTGAAGTCTTGCTGCTCAGCGATATCTGGACCCTTTGTAGGCCCTGAAACTGCCAACCCGAAATCCAAAACCCCATACACCCTGAATCCTATAACCCATGAACCCAAATACCTCCTCAACCCTCAACCCTACACTCTAAGCCAAGCCCTGCTTGATTCTACGAAGACTGTCGTGATACCAAGGTCTAGCTCAACATGTCACTCGACCGTCTCAAGGAGATTTACGCCTTGAAGCCGCATGAGGAGGCTGAGCCGCTTCCGAGCTGAAAGATGGGGGCACGTGGCTTCTTAGCATCTTTAAGATGCAGGGGTGGACAGGCTGCCAGCTCAGCTTCGAGATGGAACTCTTCGTCAAGGGGGTCTGGAGGGAGGAGCTGGCCTTGACTAGGACGCCGGCAGCTCGCCCATGGCACCATACTGGAAGGCTCAAACTGCAAATCTTAATCGAAATTAAAAACCCCGGAAATCTTGGGTCTTCAGAAAAGGCCTGGACCCTGGAGCTCCTCTCCAGGAAGCTGGGGCGCCAGTGCAGGGCCCAAGGAGTTCTCATCAGAGCTTTGGCCTTTTCGAGGCTTGAGTCCAGAGATAGCGGGGAGTAAAAGTTTTCACCCAAAAACTTGAGGGTTTAGAATTGTTTCTTCGAATTACGGCGGTCTGGGCTTCAGGGTTGGAGGGCAAGAGGGTGTGGAGGTGAGATCAGCGAATATTGGAAGGGAAGATGGGGCAATCGCAGACTACTTGGCTGCTTTGGTCAAATCTTCTTGTGGTTCAAATGTTCTCTCCCCCACCCCGCCACGTACAAGCTAGGCTCATGGTAGCATCATCTGGGGGGGCGCATGCCCGACGTTCCAAAGGGCTTGGTAAGCAACAGCTTGAACTCTAGAGTCGACAGATCCATGAGTCCTGAAGCCGTCAATATTTGGATCCTGAATCCTGACCATTGGAACTTGCAAAGCCATTATGATCAGACCTCCAGACCGCATTCTACATGTACAGGATTGTAGCACCCAAGTTGGCCTGCCAAGGAGGCTCGTAAGAAACCCGGTCTTTCGTGTGGCGCTCCATGAGTTGGTGTTACAGATTGACGCACCCTAATCCCAATGTACCTGCTTTTGAATGCACAGCAGCTTACTCAGGTGCAGATCTACTCGCCGCCGCTTCTTCGGGACTCCGTGGTGAACTTCAGCTCGCTGCAGGAGGCGATGCACGTTGGGATCCTCTTTCCAGGCTTCTGGTCCGTGGATGTTCTGGTTTGGCGGGTATTTTCAGAAAAAGACATTCAGATACATGGCTAGGTGGGCTTTCGGAAAAGTCTGGGGAGCGTAGAGTGTACTGCGGCCACACGGAATGAATTCCTGAATCGGTAGCCAGATTGCTCTACATGTTTGTGTGGCATGAAGCGGCTGATGCTCACAGGAGGCGGCTTGGCGGGAGGCAGTTGGGATTATATGTGGAGATCCTGTGTTTAATGTATAGCAGCAGCTTACCAAAACCACCAGCGCTTGCTAAGGCCTTAGTTATGGCTCTGCCCGAATCCAAGGTCACTCTCTACGAGTCGTGTTACGGCTTACCCACTCCCGGATAGTGCCAGCCTTGCAAGAGATGACAAGCCTCTTTACTTCTTATTCCTTTAAGCCATACGCCGTGGACCACATCCTACATCCAAACCCTGTTCACATCATTTGGGATCTCTAGGCGGCAAGAGCCACAGCCTCTGCCCACTTCGCCAGGAGCTGCCATGTTTTGTGTTCAGGATTTGGGTTGGGGTTCGGGCTTTGCGCTGCAGTTTCAGGTTTAGGGTTGAGGATCGGGACTTATCCTGGATTAAGGGGTGAGGACTGGGGTTCAGGTCTCATAGGCCGCAAGCCGCAAACCCTCAGGGTCTCAAATTGGATTATGCGGGACTCTAGCAGGATTATATGCGGATAAGGTGAGAGGAGGTGTCACGTTTTTCTGTGAGGACCTGAGGCATACGGTCAGGCTTCCTTGCGGGCCTCTTGTTCAATCTACGTGGCAGCAGCCGAGGTAACGTATGGCTGAACCCGACCACTTAGAAACTAGTCCCGAACCTAAACCTGGCATGATCCCAAATAAGCGAAATACCAGAGACGATCGTTGCGGAGATTGCGTTGACGGAGATTGCCTTGACTATCTGGAGATACGGCCCTGAAATATCCCTATAAAACCTTATAAAACCCTATAATAACCCTAGAATACATTTATAAAATCCTATAATAACACTATAAAATCCTATACTAACCCTATGACAACCTCATAAAATCCTATGAAACCCCATGATATCCGCCTAAAATCCTAGATTATCCCTATAATATGCCGATAATATTGCAGGGTTTGACAACCAGCTGTGAGCTGACCTCTCCGGGGACCGTCACAGGCTGTGAGGTTGTTTTGAAAGAGTTTTGGAGACAGTTGATGGATACTTTCTGCATAACATTGGGTTTAGGGCTTAGGAGCACTGAGTACGCTAAGTTGCCATGATTCATTGGGTTTGCAGGGAACGGATACAGGGTTATGCAAGGTATGCATGTCTGGTCGGTCCCATGCTTAGGGCTTCTACTTGAGATTACACTAAGCGCTAGCTTGAGAAGCTTTGCCACATTGCTGATGAAGGTGCATCATTCTTTGACCCTCCTTTGATTCAATGAAAGCCCCCTCACATAGGTCTGGCCGTGGCTAATGCTGTGTCTCCCAATTACGCCCGTATAGTACAGGCTCATGAAATTGACTTGCAATTTTCAGTCTATGTCATAGAAGGGAAAGGGGTTCTCAACATCGTGGTCCCTTTTTGGCATGCTAAATAGCAGCCTTTCTTTGCGACCGATTCTCGAAGCTGCAGGAAGTTCGACGCGCGTCGCACAGGCGGCCTGCAAAGGCTGCGGAGGGGTTTCAGAAAACTTGGTATCCACTCATACTGCTTATCTTGTTGCAAAGGTGCGGCTTGCGGGCTGAAGAGTTGCGTTTGCATGAACCTCCTCCCCACAATACTACATCGTCCTTAACATACATACATATATACATATTTTCTTGGTAGCATGCTTGAAAAAGGAAGTTGACGCAAGACTGGATTCGTTTTCGGCGGGTTTTCACGTCTTAGACCCCAAAGGGGCGTGTGGATTGTTCGGGTTGTTTCCTGGTCAGTGATGCCTGAGGGGATGGTTTTGCCTTCTTTGCTTGCATCTGTGGGGTCTTCAAAACGATGCTAAACCCTGACTTCCTGAACTAAACCCCAAATCGCCTAAACTCTGAATCCTCAATTCCTCAATCGGAGGCACCAAACCCGACATCCTCCCTAACCCTTTCTGCGACCATTTTTGTCGAGGCGCTTGGATCTTGCGGCTGCCCGCAGGGAGCTTGGTCTGTCCTGGCAGTGCAAGGATTACAGGGTTAGCGGCTCCGGATGTAAAATGTAGGGGTCAAGGCAACCTAACGGTTTCACGGTTTAGGGTAACTACGCGGTCAGCCCTGAACCCGATGAACCTGCCTGTGCCACCTGAAATGCCCCAGCTCTGGGTGGTACTTCAAGTACCCCCTTTGATGAGAGGAATGTACGGAGTCATTATACATTTCCGTACACCTTTGCAACGCAGAAGTCTTGCAAAGGTTCTGCTGTTCCAAGGGTGCAAGACAGCTTGGAGCCTCATGGAAGCTTGTCCCACGGAATTTGGTGCTTGAGGCTTAGGGGGCATTTTATTATGGCCTCTTGTTCGAACTTGGGCTTCGGAATCCGAGCCATTGTAGCACTGCAAAAGATGAACAGACGCTAGAGCTTCTGCAGGGCGAATTTCCAAAACTCTGGTGAGGTTTAATCACTTGAGTATGTTCTCGGTCAGGGAAGAACTCAGGAAAGTCCTAGGCACCTGCTCTTCTTTGACCTGGTGTTTATGAGGCACTAGGGGCATTGATCGAGTAGTCCCAAAAGAGGTCACGCAAACTTAGCCCCAGAATAATATCTTACGGAGCATCAGCAGTGATGCCAGTGAAGACACTCTGTTGTTGGATTCCCACTGACGGTCCATGATGAGGACGAATGCCAGAGGCATCGCTTGTTGTGCACATTGACCTGGAAAACACTTCCAGATGAAGCAACGTCATGTTGGAAAGCCAGTCCATGCTGGTTTCTGTGATGCGTATTTCGCAGGTTGCGGCTGCAATGCCTGTGATGACAATCGTTTGTTGGATTCCCACTGATACTCTGCGGTGAGAAGTCTGTCCGAAGCCCGGTTTGTCGCTCAAGGCTCGTCTTCGAGCATCCACATGTCAAGGCATCTTTCATACTCTTAACGGGCTTTCCCTTGATGGAATAATGATCAAAGTTGGTTCTAGGCACAGGTTGCCATTCTCAGTTGCTTTGTGGGGAGGAATGCCTATGATGACAATC